AGCGCCCGCCCAGTGCCCCCTCCGCCCCGACCACTTCGGCACCGCACCCCCCCCCCCCGCTCCGCCCCCTCCCCCGGCCCTCTCACCACCCCCGCTCAGCCCTGCCCCTGTCGCCCCCCCGACCCGCCCCCTCTCTCTTCCCGCGACGCCGCCGATGCCGTCGCCGCCGTCGCCACCGACGCCGCCGCCGTCGTCGCCGTCGTCGTCGCCGCCGCCGCCCCGGGCCGAAAGTCTGGTCTGTGGGGGAGGCCCCCATTCAAGTGGCGCATAGCCGGTCCCCGAGAATACACCCGACAGACTCTGCGTGCCAAGCGACTGCCTTGGACAAGCGTTCGCAACACAAGGCCGCCGCGCACTTTGCACCGCGAGCCCCCAGCAGCTGAGTCCGCTCAGTAATTTCTTCCAGCCCTCCTTGGACCCTGGAGGCCTCCCCTTGGGACCCTCTGTAGGCTTCTCGGGTGTCAGTTGGAGGCTTCCTGGGAACCCGTCAAAGGTCTTTGAAGCCATCTTGCGGGGGACGGCCCTTGGAGTCTCCTCGCGCTCGCCCTCTGGAGCCCCTCTTGCGGCCCTGTTTTGTTCACTCCTTCTGCGATGTCTGGCATCCTCTCCCCCCCCCCCCCTCCTCCTCCACATCCTCCTCCTCCCCCTTCCTTTTTGTGCAAGAGCCATGGCACACGTGCCACTTGTTTATCAGGTTTCGTGCCCCTCCCACCCCTCCAGGGAGGCCCTGCCTGAGCGAGCAGGGCATTCGCACACCATGATATTTATCAGGTTTCCTGCCACACCCATCCCTCCAGGGAGGCCCCGCCTGAGCGAGCAGGGTATTCGCACACCATGCTATTTATCTGGTTTCGTGCCCCTCCCACCCCTCCAGGGAGGCCCCACCAGAGCGGGACGGGTGTTCGCGCACCATGCTATTTATCAGGTATCCTGCCCATCCCGCCCCTCCAGGGAGGCCCCGCCTGAGCGAGCAGGGTATCCGCACACAATGTTATTTATAAGTTCTCGTGCCTCTCCCACCCCTCCAGGGAGGCCCAGCCTGAGCAAGCAAGGTATTCGCACACCATGTTATTTATCAGGTTTCGTGCCCCTCCCACCCCTCCAGGGAGGCCCAGCCTGAGCGAGCAGGGTATTCGCACACCATGTTATTTATCTGGTTTCGTGCCCCTCCCAAACCACTCCATTGATGCCCCACCAAGGGCAGGGTAATTCGCACACCAATGTTTATTTATTCAAGGTTTCGTGCCCCTCCACCCCTCCCCCCACCAGAGCGGGCAGGGTATCCGCACACCATGTTATTTATCAGGTTTCGTGCCCCTCCCACCCCTCCAGGGAGGATCCGCCTGAGCGGGCAGGGTGTTCGCACACCATATGATTTATCAGGTTTCATTCCCTCCCACCCCTCCAGGGAAGCCCCACCAGAGCGGGCAGGGCATTCGCACACCATATTATTTATCAGGTTCCGTGCCCCTCCCGCCACTCCAGGGAGGCCCCACCAGAGCGGGCAGGGTATTCGCACGCCATATTTTATTATTTGGTTTCGTGCCGTTCCCGCCCCTCCAGGGAGGCCCCACCAGAGCGGGCAGTGTATTCGCACACCATGTTATTTATCAGGTGTCGTGCCCCTCCCACCCCTCCAGGGAGGCCCCACCAGAGCGGGCAGGGTATCCGTACACCATATTATGTATCAGGTTTCATGCCCCTCCCACCCCTCCAGGGAGGCCCCACCAGAGCGGGCAGGGTACTCGCACACCATATTATTCATCAGGTTTCGTGCCCCTCCCACCCCTCCAGGGAGGCCCCACCAGAGCGCAGACAAGAAACAATGGAACCCCGTAACATTTTTATGTGGGGAACTCCGTTAGCATATTTTTTTCCTAAAAGGAACCTCCTCCTCCTCCTCCTCCTCCTCCTCCTCTCTCCCCCTCCTCCTCCTCCTCCTCCTCCTCCTCCGCCTTCCTCCTCCTCTCCTCCTCCCCCTCCTCCTCCCCCTCCTCCTCCTCCTCCTCCTCCTCCTCCTCCTCCTCCTCCTCCTCCTCCTCCTCCTCCTCCTCCTCCTCCCTGTGTTCCTCAGGGCTTGTCTGCTTCATGTCGCCTCCTGCTCCCCCCCTGAGATCCGACGTTGTTACACCACTGCGACCTCGCGGAACATTGCCACTGGAGCCCGAGTCCCTGTGTTTCTCTGTTGTCTCTCTCGAGCTGTGGATCGATCGGCGGGGGTCCCAGAGCCCGAAGCGGGGCGGCAAGGCCTGCGAACAGAATGCAACGCCTGGATCTTCTCCTCCTCCTCCACCTCCTCCTCCTCCTCCTCTTCCTCCTTCTCCTCCTCCTCCTCCTCCTCCTCTTCCTCCTCCTCCTCCTCCCCCTCCTCCTCCTCCTCCCCCTCCTCCTCCTTCTCCTTCTCCTCCTCCTCGCTGGAGGCACCAGCGCTCTCGAGCACCGCTCCGGCGAACAGCCAGGGCGCCGGCTCATCCTGGGCGGCGGGCCCCGCGGATCTGCGGTCGTACCACACTACCTTCGACTCGCTGGCGCAGGGCAGGGATAGGATATGGCCAGAGGACGCGAAGGTCGAAGAACAACAGCAACGGCTTAAGCAGAAGTGTCCGGAGGAGGTAGAGGACGAGGCGGAGGCGGAGGATAACAATGAGGAGGAGGAGGAGAAGGAGGAGGAGGAGGAGGAGGAAAAGAGGAGGAGGAGGAGGAGGAGGAGGAGGAGGAGGAGCAGGAGCAGGAGCAGGAGCAGGATGAGGAGGAGGGAGGTGGAGGAGGAGGTGGGCAGGAGGAGGAGGAGGAGGAGGAGGAGGAGGAGGAGGAGGGGAGGAGGAGAAGGGGAGGAGGAGGAGAAGGAGGAGGAGGAGGAGGAGGAGGAGGAGGAGGAGGAGAAGAAGGAGGAGGAGAGGAGGGGGAGGAAGAGGAGGAGGAGGAGGAGGAGGAGGAGGAGGAGGAGCAGGACGAGGAGGAGGTGGAGAAGGAGGGGGAGGGGGAGGGGGAGGGGGAGGAGGAGGAGGAGGAGGAGGAGGAGGAGGAGGAGGAGGAGGAGGAGGAGGATTTTTCTTTCAACATCGACAACCACGACGCCAACGATCTGGCGGATTCAGATGAGCAAGCTCAACATGTACAACTCCATGAAGCAGTGGGAGATGCCGCAATCATCGGTAAGGACGTTTACCACGGCGTTGTGGACCTCCGCAGGAGCTAGCACTGCCGCCCGCCTCGCATTCCCGGTCTGGGACACGAGCACTGCCAGGAGCGAAGACGAACTTGTCCTCCGTCGACTTCTCGGCGGAGGCGAACCTCATCGCGAAGATCCCCACGGGCGCCAGGCCATTCGAGCATGATGCCGACGCCGCCACGGGCTCCGAGGTCTCCTTCTTCACGAAACTCTCATCGAAACTGTCACGAACCGACGCCTTCAAGAACTCACCGACCTCGCCGAGGATCTTGCACTCCGTCGACTCCCCTGCGGAGGCGGCCTCGGCGATGGCACCTGGAAACCGGGGCCCCTTTAGGGGGGGCGAGGCCCTCCGCGAAGGCGAAGGACGGGGAGCCCTTGGTATGACGAGGTCATTGACACCCGTCTCCACGAGGGCCATCACCTCGGGCTCCAGGGGCGCCTCGGGCTTGAACCTCAGGCCCTCGACGCACTTCACCTCATCCTTGAACTCCAGGAGTGCTTGGTCCGCCCTCTCCTGGTACTGCAGGTCCTCCTCGTCAAGGTCGTTCACGTTGCTCTCGGCTTCGTCGAACTCCTTGAACTCCAGGAGCGCCTGGTCGACCTGGTACTGCATGTCCTCTGCGGCAAGGCCGTTCATGGTGCTCTCAGCCTCGGTGCCTTCGCCCTCCTCGTTCATCTCCTTGAAGCCTATCACGTCGGCAACGTCCGTCGGGATCGTGACGTCAAGGGCGTCGAGTAGGACATCGACATGCTGGTACTGCAGGTCCTGCGTGGCAAGGCCGTGTATGGTGCTCACGGCCTCGGTGCCTTCAAACACGATATCAGTCAACCACGCGCGGAACTCCTCCACCACCACGACGTCGAAAGCGCGGGGAACGGCTGGGAAAGACGGCAGGCCAGGAGGTGCCTGGTGTTTCGCCCAATTCCCGCTGGCCAGCTTCTCCGCGTAATCGTCGAGCTCAGCCATGGGCAGGCCGAGCAACTTCGCAGCCTTGAGGGTGTCCGCCATGCCTGTCAGGTGCCCGCCCAGCTGGTCGCCCAAGCTCCAGTGCGCCGACAGGGCGGTCCTGAACAGCTTGCAACGCGTTGCGAGGGCTTGCGCACGGGTCTCGCCGATGCGAAGCCTCGCCTGGCGCCGGAGCCGCCTCGCGAGGGTGCGGGCGAAGGCCGCAGCCCATTGGCGGCCCGGCGACATGCGGCAGCTTGCGCGCCTGCGCCTGGCACAGGCGCGCTGGCGAGGGCCTCCCGAAGCGCGGCTCACTTGAGCCAAAATGGCTACGGACGGAGGAGGAGGAGGGACGGAGGAGGAGGAGGAGGAGGAGGAGGAGGAGGAGGAGGAGCCCCAGGAAACGCTAAGCTGCACAATGAAGCGTAACCTTTCGGAGGCCCACGCGGGCTTCTTTTGGTCGGTTCTGGGCTCGCCTCCCCGGCACGCGAAGGGCACGCCAGATTGGCGGCGGCGTGGCCGCCGGGGCGGGCACAGCGCCGACACCCAAGAGCTCAGCGCGGACCGCCGAATACTTCAGTCGGGTGTGCTCCTCTACGGGGGGAAATTCAATCGGCGTCACCCCAACATACTTATACTATATGTTCGTCGCCCCCCCCAGGGGCGCCGCGCGCACCGAGAAATCGTATAGTATATGCGTCCAAGCGGGCGCTTTCTGGCCACACCGCTCGGGAAACGATATACTACAAGATGGGTATACTATATGTTCGGGTCGGACGCGCGCGCCTCCAAGGAGAACATATATTACTCGTATGTCTCTGTGCGTCCCACCCAAGAGCTCCGCGCGGACCGCCGAATAATTAAGTCGGGTGTGCTCCTCTACGGAGGGGAAATTCAAGAGTAGTGAGAAAATAGTCTGGGGACGATTCTCCGACTATGTTTGGCCATTTTCGGCCATGTTTGGCCACTTTTACGATTTCCTCCAAAATCCGCCTGTAGGGGGGCATGCCCGACCTAAGACTATACGCTCAAGCTGCTGCGCTCCCTCTGGAATCGGCGGCGAGCGAGGCCCGAGTCACGCAGCAGAGGCGGATGAGGATGATGGGACTCGGCGGCGAGGAGGGTGTCTCGGGTTTCGTAGTTTGGGGGGTTCGAGGTTTTCGGGCGGTTTCGTAGTTTCTGGGCGGCCTTCCGCCCTCGGGGTGCGTTCCAGCGGCTGCGCCTCGCCGAGAGCGTTCCGCGTGTGCCCGGATCGTCCCGAACGGCCACCGGAGAGCCGGGTTACGACCTAAAAGCCAAGTCAGTGGCGTGTCTGGGGGGAAGCGAGAAGGAGAAGGCCTTCTCAGAGAAGGCGGCGGGACTTCTCAAAAGAGCTCCAGCCCTCCGAGAAGTGCTCTCTCGTGTCTCCGGGGTAGGCTTGATTTTTGATAACTTCTCAGGAGGGCCGGGGGACTTCTGAGCCTTCTGGGAAGGCCCGCCCCTCTCTCGCTTCCCCCGGGAGCTTCCCAGAGGGCCAGGGGACCTCCCGGCCCTCCGAGAAGGCCTGCCTCTTACCCACTCCCCCCCGGGGTCGCCGCCGATGCAAGGGAGTGTTCGAGAGTTACTCCTCCGAGACGGATGACCTCAACCAGATCTGGGCCCTGTCGGACACGGACGGGGACGGCCAGCTGACGTTCGCCGAGTTCGCGTGCGCGATGCACCTGCTGTCCCAGCTCTCGCAGGTGCTGGATGAGGGCAGCAGGGGGCATCACATCGTCCCGCACTCACAGTTCCATCCTCATTGCTGCGATCCCTTTCCAACCCATCACTGGCCCATCCTTGTCGCCTTTTGCCCCTTCCCCTCCGCCCCTCCCGCCTGCTTCTCGTCCTTCCCTCGCTCCTCGCGAAAAGTACATCGGAGGAGCCGCAGGAGAGGACAGAGAGGAGGGCGGATGCGGGCGAGGGAGGCGGGACGAGAAGGTATGGGTGAAGGGGAGCGGGGAGGCGTGGGGCGAGGGAACACGGACGCGAGCGCGAGGAGGAGGAGCAGGAGAAGGAGGAGGCGGAGGAGAAGGAGAAAGAGAGGGACCAGGAGGAGGAGGAGCAGGAGGAGGAGGAGGAGGAGGAGGCGGAGGCGGAGGAGGAGGAGGAGGAGGAGGAGGAGGAGGAGGAGGAGGAGGAAGAGGAGTGGGGGGGATGAGGAGGGCTTCGGGGAGGAGAAGGCGGGTCGGTACGAGATATCCACAACGATGGCAGCGGGACAACCCTGAGATCCGACGTTGCAAGAAATGCAACATCGCAAAAAATTGCGACTTGAGCCCCAGACCCCATCTTTCTGCGTCGTTTTTCGAGCCGGATCGATCTGTGAGGGTCCCGGGGCCCGCAATTGAGCGACAACGCCCGGCGCGACAAAGATTGCAACGCCAGAGTCTCAGGGAAGGACGAGGGGGGGGCGGGCCGACGAGAGGAAGGCGCGGCCGTGCCGTGCCCGCGCGGGGGTGCGAGGGCCCTCTTCTTGCCCCGCCCGCTCAGGGGCTGCCCGTGCCCGCGGCGCTGCCGCCCGAGCTGCTGTCCTCGATCCTGGTAGCCGAGGCCAGGCCAGCGGGCCTCCTCCAACTCCGCCTCCAACTCCTCCAACTCCTCCACCTCCTCCTCCTCCTATCTCGGTGCCCGCACATCTTGGCACGGAAAGGTTGGGCGGGCCGCTGGATTATATCCGTTGCTCTGGGCTCAAATCAGCGGCACAGCGCATGCCCCTTTTTACAGTTGTCAGTCTTGCCTCCTGGGCTGCTTCACAGTGGGGCACGATAGGCCCCGTGCTGGGTGCTGCTGGACAGTGCGCCTTCGCGGCCAACCTGCCTGGAGGACTTCCTGGGCTGGTGGTGGCCATCGGCGGCGTGGGATTCCTCCTGGGGTTCAGCTGTGCTGCCATGGATGGCTGCCCGTGTGCTCAGCGGGCTCGAGACGGGCCGGCGAGTCTGCGTGCTCTGGAACGACGGGGAGGATTGGCAGGTGAAGGTGCTGCTCACGCCCGCGACCGCGGGCGACCTCGACGAGGTGATGGGCATCAGCGCCATCGACGATCCCGAGATCCAGAGCCGGATCTGGTACGCCCTCAGCCCCGACGGCGACACGTACCCTCGTCTCCTCGCAGCGCCTCCTCTAGCCGGTCTGTGCCTCGCCGATTCGACCGACCGCTTCGACCCGACCCTTGGCGAAGGCAGGCGATGGTCCCCGCGCTCGAGGACCTACGGGGAGGGCTGGGCTCCCACACCTCTCGAGCTCGGCCGGGCCATTCGCTTCGCCGTGGTGGGCGACTCCGACGGCGCAGCCCCCGCTCACCGCACGGTCGGGACCCAGACCCCCTCGAGTCATGAAAAAATCACGACGGGAGGTTTTTCACTGTTTTCAGCCTCTGAGGGCCCTTACCGGGCCTCGGGACCGTCAAAAAACGACTCGGGATGAAAAACCGGTCCCAGGGAATGGGTCGAGTCCTCTGGGGGTCGACGTCATGAAAAAATCATGACGTCGGGGGTCTGGGGAAGAAGCCGATGACAGCGAGCGGGGCGAAGGCTCTGACAGTGGCGACGGGCTCTTCAGTCATTCAGGGTCGACCAGCGGGTACTGAGGTCGAGGTCGGGGCGGGGATGCTCGAGAACCCCGCCCCGATGGTCTGGCAGGTGATCTGCATGTCGGACGGCGCTTTGGGCCCGCAGACTCTCGAGGACTACCGAGTCGACAGCTGGGCCACCATCGGCGACTTCGGGGTCGCCAAGGTCGGTGGGCGGATCTTCCTCTTCCGCGCGGTGGACAAGAAGACGGCCTCCGAGGGGGGGGCCGCCGACCTGGACGTTGGAGTGATGCCCGTGCTGGAGAACCACTCTGGCGAGCGGAAGCGGGTCTTCCGCGACGCGGTGAAGCTGTTGCAGGAGTCTCAGTGGAGCCACTGGCCAGTGCGCGGACCGCGGACGGTCAAGTGGTGCGTGGAGTTCCTCGGGGAGCAGGACATGCACCCGAGGGCTCGCCACACTAAGTGGAAGGCGGAGTGCCGGCTCCAGAGCGGCGACGCCGGCGTAGCGGACCACGAGCTGGCGATGAGGATGTTCGAGGTGGCGGTGGTGTACGACCAGCTAGCTCATGGTCTCAGAGCTGGCCTGCAACGAGTACCTCGCTCGGCGTGCCCAGATGGCGGAGTGGAGACACCGCCATCTGGTGGCGGGCGGGGGCTCCGAGGTGGACGTGGTGGAAGACGAGTACCTGCACATGGGGACGGCGGAGACGCGCGGGCTGCTCATGGCGGCCCCGGAGCTGCAGCGGCACATCACGGAGGAGCTCCACAAGGAGGCGGCCATCCTCAAGGAGCGGCGCAAGCTGCGAGAGGAGAGGGCCACCGCGCGCGGCCCTGGCGGCGGCGCCCTTGGCAGTGGTGGGGCCCCCGCCGCGCGGGAGAACAATATCAAGAACCAAGCGGGCGAGATCAAGCGCCTGCAGGCGCGCCTCGGACGGGCGACGCGGAGCTCGACGGCGGCAAAGGCGGCGGCCGCGGGCGCGGGGGCAAATGATGAGTACTGCTCAGGAGCTCCTGACAGTGGAAGCTCCCGTAGACGGCGGCCGCACAGCGAGGACTACCCGCTGCTGCCGCGCCGTGCGCTCGAGACACCGGCAGGCCGAGTACGCCCACGACTGGGAGTGCGAGGTCCACGAGGCGCTGAACGGCCTCTACTCACATGGCGCGCCAAAGGGCGACCAGTTTTTGTCATGTGCGCAGGAGGCCGGCGTGCAGCACGTGAAGGGCGTGATCTCCTCCGTCGGCCCGCCCTGCATCGCCCCCGCGGCAGCCTTCGCTGAGCTGTGTGGGCACGCCCCCGGCTACTCTCAGATGCCGGAGATTCGTGCGCCCTTCCAGCGGGACCTCGTCTCGCTCCCCCGCAGGGGCCACGCCCTCTGCGACGGCTTATCGCTCCTGGAGCGTGTTGCACGTGATGAATGGATGGGTTGGAAGGACCGGCTGACGCGCCCGGTTTGAGACATGCAGAGGGAGCGGGTCAAGTCTTACAATGATCCGAAGTTGGTCCGATCGCAGTCTTCCTTGGCTTCTTTTCTTCTCGACCTCTACGACTCTAACTTGCTCTACTTCGGGGCGGAGCAGTCGGCCACAGATGGGATGTTCTTCGTGCTGAAGTCCGACAAAGTTCGGCAACGCCTGACATTCGACGCCAGGGCGGTGAATCAAGAGTTTGCCGACCTGGGTTGCACGCAGCTCCCCGCCGCGGGGGCCTGGAACGGCCTCGCGCTGAGGCCAGGCGACAAGCTCTTCCTGTCCCAGGTTGACGTCGACAACGCGTTCTACAGGATCCTGCTGCCGCCCGGGCTGAGCCGGCGCTTCGTCTTGCCGGCGGTCAGCCGGCGGGCCCTGCTGGCGGCTCGCCCGGGGCTCGCGCTCCCGGAGGGGGGCAAGATCTCGGGCTTCCTCCGCGTGCTGCCGACGGGGTGGACGTGGAGCCTGTACTTCTGCCAGTCCATGGTGGAGACCGCCGTGCGACGGTCGGGGTTCCCCGACAGCTGCCTCGTGAGGGATCGCCACACCACTCCAGACGTCCGCTCTGGGGAGGTTGCCGCCGTGTACGTCGACGGCGCGGCGATCCTCGGTACGGACTCCAACATGGTGGACAGGCGCTGCCAGGACGTGACGCGCTGTCTGCAGGACCACGGGCTGATCTGCAATGGCGTGGAGCGCTCGGGGGGCTCGCAGAAGTTCACCAGCCTCCACTTCGACGTGGAGACGGGCAAGATCTCCCTGGGCCGCGAGCGGCTCTGGCGGCTCCGGCTCGGACTGCTGTGCGCGGCCGACTAGCGGCGCACTTCGGGGGGCGACCTGCGCCGCCTGGTGGGCCACTTCGCGTGGGCGGCGCTGGTCCGCCGCGAGCTGCCGGCGATCTTCGACAGCGTCTACCGTTTCGCCGACCGCGCCGGCAGCCGCCAGTGGCGGATGTGGCCCAGCGTCGAGCATGAGTTGCGCCGCGCGGCCGCCTTGGTCTGCTTCTGTTTCGTGGACCCGAAGAGGCCCCTGGCATCGGACGTCTACGCCACCGACGCCTCGGGGAGCTCGGGCGTTGACGCCGGCGGGCACGGCGTCATGAGCCGGGGCAGCGAGGCGGAGGTGGTCCAGCGCCTGGCGTGCCAGGCCGAGCGCTGGAGGTACAACGTCATGGACGCCATCGCCGCCCGGTGCCACATGCTGGGCGTGGAGGCTCCCAAGGCGCACGGCAGCCGCGTCGCCAGGAAGGGGGGCTCCGACTTCCTGGCGGCGACGGCCGCGGACATCGGCGCCTTCGACGACCTGGGGCCTGAAGGTGAAGGGCAGGTGGCGTATCCAAGACAACATCATGAGGACGGAGGGCCGTGCTGTCATTCTGGCGGTGAGGCACCACTTGAGACGGGTGTCGGCTCAGTGCCACCGCCTCGTTGTATTGTGCGATAATTTGTCCGTCGTGCTGGCGCTCGGCAGAGGAAGATCCTCCTCGCCTCACCTCATGCGCACCTGCAGAGAGATGCTTGCATTCAGCCTCTTGGGGGACTTGGTCGTGACCGTGAGATGGATTGCTTCGGAGCTCAACCCGTCCGACAGGCCGTCTCGGCTCAAGTCCGCGATCACCAACGACGCCCGCCTCGACCCGCGCAGCGCCTGGCACGATGCTGAGACAGCTGCCCGCTGGGCCGCCGAGCCGGGGCCAGGCCGTCGACGAGCTCGTCAGGGACGAGGTCGGCGACTTCCACGGGCTGGGGGGGCTTGGGGGCTACTTCCTCGCGGACCCTACGCCGGGCGGCCCCCGAGGCTCCGCCTCGGCCACCGCCGGCAACGCGGGCGCCGCCCTCAGCTGGGAGGACTCGTCGACGACGAACCAGTTGGGCTTGTTGAATGCGCGGGCACAGGGGGGCACCACGTCCAACCTCGCGGCCGCGGAGAGGCAGGCGCAGGGGCGGGCACGGCGCCGCCAGGCGGCGGCTGGGCGGCGGCCGGCACGGCCGCTGGGCACGACCTTCCTGGAGGCCGCGAGGGTGTCCAACAGGCAGGCTCGGACGCATGCTTCGCTCCACCAGGCCGCCTTGGATTGGGCCCGCCGCCGGGGCTCGGCCACTCGGACGACGAGCGAGCTCCACGTAGCGCTCGCCCAGTACCTCGACATGCTGTACTTCGGGGGCTTCAGCCAGTCACGCGGTCAGAAGACCGTCGCGGCTCTACGCTACTACCGGCCCGAGTGCGAGCTCAACGGACCTGACGACCTCGTGCACGCGCGGGCCGCGCTGCGCGGCCCCCGCCGCCAAGCGCCCGGCGGGGCGCGCCGGCCGCTGCCCCGCCCAGCCTACCTGGCCATCTTCGGGACGGCGCTGCACCTCCGCCTGATGGAGTTCGCGCTCGCCCTCGTGATCGCATGGGACGGGCTCCTGCGCCTGCCGACCGACATCGCGGAGATGGCGGGGGGCAGCCTGGTTGCTCCGAGCCCCTCTGCCCGCGGCCTGGCGTGGGGGCTGCTGCTCTTCCCGTCCGAGGCCGCGCGGCCGAGCAAGGTCGGCCACTTCGACGAGGGGTT